TATCGTGGAACCATTTAACGAGTTTCGTTGACCCTTGACCCTCCTTTTACGACGCGCGATCGTGTCCCAAAAAAGTCGTCGTGAGATTTTGGCAACGAAAAGGCGTCTCGGACAACTTAGCGAGAATTCGAGGGGACAAACGGAAACGGATGGATTGTGTATTTTGGCGAGAGTCCCGAGAGTGTCTGAAGGGCGGATAGTGCTCTAATTGGCTTCTTCTGAACTGTAGTGAGTAAAAGATGCATCTGCTAATTAGAAACCTATTTTTTAATTAGAAACCAAGTTTAACATTAAGACATTCGGTCCTTTTTAATTTTGTACATTTTATTAATTGAAATCATTCGAATTTACTTTCTCTATTATGAAAAAAATACATATATATAATGCAGATTTATAGATAAATGATTTATATATATATATATATATATATATATATATAGATTTATAGATAAAAATGGACTTGTCTTTAAGTACTTGGCGTTGCGTCGCTTGGTATATCAAACCGTCCCACTCCTACATTAATCGGGAAGAGTTTAATCCAAATCAGTGCATAGAAACTCGAACATTGCGCAATCGAACGAAATGCACGATTTTGCAGAGGATCAAAAGACAAATAGAAGCGATGCACAGTCGCATTACTTTAAACTGTCACTCTCGCTCCTTAAGGAGCTTTTGGCGAGAGAACTCCCGCGAATCGAGCTTCCTCGTCTTTTACGGAGACACAGTCGCCAAGTAAAAGCCCGCAGCAGCTTACAAGTCGTTGACCCTGATGGCAGACGCTCTCACTCTCGCCAATTCACTCTCACTGTCGTTTCACCCACTCCTATCCCAGGGAGGCCATCGAGGGTAGAAAGTAAAGGGTGGAGAGTACTCGCTGTTCTTACGGTTCTCGATAAAGGATTTCGTTCCTGACCGAGAAGACTCGGTGAAAAACGCGAGAAGTAGCGAAGCGCGTAACATTATACGCGACAGGAGCTTCTTTTTGAATTTTATAAACCAGGAGCTATTGCACCTCCTGAGCATCTTCTTCGCAAATTTCCAATATTTAAATATGGGAAATTTATACACAAGATGTACTTATTTTTAAATTTATGAACTGCAAAATTTGTCGCGATGTGAGATACTGAATAAGACAACTTACATTTCCGCAACAGCAACTCCCTACATTTCGTAGTTACTGACGCAAAACGTCGTCTCTCTTTCTCCCCTCTCTCTCCCCCTCTCCCTCTCTTTCTCTATCTATTTTCTCGTGATATAATCTGTAACACAGATACAGAAATAACATTATTGTAACATTATTGTAACATTATTTTTACATATCAGGACCCCCATAAATGTCCGTATAGTTGTCGAACACGTATTTCAATTTAATGGATTCCAAAGCAATTGTCCGCATACAAATCTCTCCCAAACTTTCACGTTCTTTCTCCCTCGTCAACGTCGTAAACGATAATAACGGGAACATTCTGTGTATATCCCAAGGCGAATTCGGACGTATACATATATATAGGGTGTTGAAAAAAAAGGGTCACATATTTTGATAGCAGGTAGTATTGATCAAAACAAGAAGAAAAGGTCTAATTAACATGGGTCCTAAGACTAATATCTTCTAAGATACAAGCTATTTTGTTATTTGAGCTTTTTGTCATTTTCTTATCAGTCGTGTCATCTTTAGAATGTAATGAACAAAAGAGTAGGGGAGAGTGGGGTACAATGGGGATATCTTTTTTCTAGGTGCCTTAAAAAATAAAAAATTAACAAAGAGAGATAAAGAAACAATTTTTATTTTAATATGAAATGTAATCATTTATCTTCCATAACAAAACTGAAGTAAAGAAACTGAATGTATGATAACAAAATAAAAACTCTTTTTTTACAAAAAACAAAAAATTTTATGCTGACTCAGCATTAGAGGAGATGCTCTATGTGATTGCCATTCACTCTCACGCATGTTTTAGCCCTACGTCTTAGAGAATCACGCACTCTTTCAAATACACCTGGCTGGTCAGAAATTTGCCGACACACATGGAAAATGCGATCCTGTGAAGTGTTTGAATGTCATCGACGGGTGTTGAATACACCAAGGTCTTTAAGTGTCCCCATAACCAAAAATCTAAATCGCATTTTCCATACGTGTCGGCAAATTTCTGATCAGCCAGGTGTATTTGTTACCTACCTGCTATCAAAATAAGTGACCCTTTTTTTTCAACACCCTGTATATAGATATATCTGTTCCCTCACATAAGAGAGAAAGCCAAAGACGGTTCCTCCGAAATTCTGTCAACATCCAGAAGGAGAAAGAACCAGGAGAGATTACAGGAAAAGAGGAGCGACCTTAAACGACGCTCCCTACGAATAACTCACCAGTCGTCGGCCAGCGACATTTAACGCGCGTCCGTCGTAACCTACACGGTGAGATTAATAAGGGTTTTACTTTTCCTTCGCGCGGCGCGATTTGTCTCCGTGACACTAGCTTGTTACCTCCCGCAACATAAACCGCACTCGTAGCGATCAATAAATTCTTGTACTAGATGTGAGTCGATGAGAATTAATTAAAGACGCGACTCTCTTTCTCTTCCTCTCTCTCTCTTTTTCCGCAAAAGAGAGAGAAAGAGAGCAATCTAATCGTATTCGCTTAATTGTCCGATGTCGCAATTAAAACAGTCTTAACCGCGATCGAGCGCTCGTTCGGTGTCAACCGGCAGCCGTATTAATTAACGTTTCAGCGAGGGCGATCGCGCGCAAGGCAACGATTGAAAATGTATGAAGAAAACCGCGATTTCCTCCTGAGAAATTACAAAATGATGTCCAGTAGAATGTTCTCTTTATCGTCGAGATTCAAGAGAAGTCCGTGTAAAATACTTATCAACTATATACAGTATAAATATGTAAAAAACGGAAAAGTTCTTTCGTCTGCTATTTAAATACCCTCCACTGCCATTTAAATAACCTCAAACTTTAAATACCCTCAGACTATATAAAAGAATACTTGAAAGAATCTCAGTTTTCTTCAAATGATAATTCATCTAAAGAGAAAAGGCAAGAAAAAGTAAAAAATATACTACATGTTTTACGGTACAAATCTCTGGTATAAAAATAATTTATTTCTCATTAAACGAATGTAAAAATACATAGGATTTAATTTAAATGAGAAACTGACGTTTCTTAAATTAATCAGATGATTAATCTAGGACATTGATGCTTGAAATTATTTCGACGATACGTAGAGGAAAACCTTCTCGATTTGAAAGAGATAATTTACGCGGTCTACATGTAGACGTAATAAACGTAGTATCAGGACAATTGCCCCCAGCAGTCCATTGCTCTAAAGCAGATGTAAGAAGTGTTCACGGCTTTATCCCGGAGCCGAACGTGATTTATCGATGAGATTTCACGGCCGCGATAGACGCGCTAAACATGCGTTGTATGGCAAGAATGAGGTGAAAGAAGAAAGAATGAAGCAGGAGTACAAGACGCTGTATTCGTTAACGCGTTGATGCGTATCTCGAATATTCTTTAGAACTGATCATAAATCATTTAAGAAACGATGGATAACAACGCATTAACCTTATTAGCTCCGACTGGCGGAGTATCTAGGTTAGGTAGGTAGGTTGGTTGGTTGGTTGCTTAAAAGATGCGGCAGAATCGCAAGTTGTGCGAGGAGATATATATGTATGTATATATAAAGTCGCAAGATACTTTTAATCCATTTGCGCAGGCCGGAAGTATATGCTCGACGAAAATTGTTGCCCGCAATTCATGCTGACGAAAGAAAGATTACGGGAAGGGAATGAAGTGGAAAAGAGAGAAAAGAGAAACAAACTGCTTCATAAAAAATAAACAAGGAAAAGTTGGCATGCTCGATACCTTCTAATGCTCTCTCCATAATTAAACCTCAACTAATGTAGTTTTCAAATTTTTAATTATCATAGAGTTAAAAAACGCATTATTCAATCAAACATACCTAAAACTAGGATAATAACTAATAATTATACAAATTTTTTTTAGACACAATCTGTTGACACGACGATATTAGAATCACTCCCTAATATTTAAGTACTTCCCGCGATATCTATCGAGCCGAACGAATTTCCAAGTTATTCCCAACTACTAATGACGGACGACGTCAAGAGCAGCAAGTCGATCGATGTGGAGAACAAACATTTTCCGTCGTGGTCGCGCACCACCAATCGCGATTTATCCTTCGACCGTAAAGTATCTATAGCAGAGCGGATTTGTCGGGTTCTCTTGCCGCATAAGATACACAGTCGCGAAGTGAGCTTGCTTTACTGCCGACGTGAAATGGCCCGGAAATCCGCGAGATGAAGAAATTACCAAATCGCACTGGACAGTGTCTTTCGTCAAGCAGACTCGAGAACATCATGCGTCTTCTATCTTCTATGCGACTTCAAGTAAACCGAAAAAAGCGGAATAAACAGGATAATTAGATGCGAATCGAAGAAGGCGGGACACAACGGGGGACAATACGTCGGGGAAAATGAGAAACGGACGGCAGTCCGAAGCGTCCTGTTATCAGCGATGCGTAACGAAGATCGAAACCCCTTTGAAATTGCTATGCATGATTTGACGTTTATACCGCGGGACAGATTGCGAGCGATACGCTGGAGTCCTATCTCCTACGGGGCCGTCGATCAACGACACACCGGCGACGTCCCGGCAAAAAGTTAATAACAACTCCGTGAGGAGACTTCCAGAGCCGCACCGGCATTTTTCCGCCGCGGAATTAATTCTGTCGCAGTGCATACCGGCGTATAAATGCGTCAACGTGTCTGTACCACGCAGCGATAAGAATGTGCGAGACGTTGTACTATTAGGTAGTGCGCGTGTGTACGTCGGAAACTCGTTTACATCGATATAATTACAGTTGCCACGCTGTCTTCTCGTCAGCTCGTGCTGCTCTCTCGAGCAGTTTTATCTGGAGGCGTCATCTGCACTACCGCGCAATTGATCAAAATTTGAGAGACGTTCTTTCGTTGCAGGATGGCTGGGGGCAATGTCGACGGGTGTCGCCTTACTGGTGTCGCCGGTGACGATAGCGTTCTGCCGAAGAAAAAGCACCAGAGTCACGGCGGTTTTGGGCGGCCTCGTCACCGCGCTCGGCTGCCTCTTCACTTCCTTCGCCTCGCAATTTCATCAATTGTTCTTTAGCTACGGTACCGTGGTCGGTAAGTAAAGAACGTGACGGTAACGAAAGTAGGCGGACCACTTGCAGTGGCGACATGTCGTACAAGTTATCTCTACAGTACGCGAATCACCGTGACGTGGACACATGTGACCGGAATGCGAATGCAAGTTTCAGAGAGATTTAATTCTCGTTTGTTGTACATAGCGTACGTATATCAATTTCATCGTTGGAGAAAATTATTGTGTCACTGTTATCAGTAAATTATTTCGGCGACATCACTCTACCCTTGTTTGATATATTTACACGAGTCTCATCCGTTTCAACCGAGGGGATCGCGATAATTAATCCGTAACACAGTACAATAAAGGCGATAAGAAAAGAAGCAAACTATGACATATAGCATTGTTGTAATATAGACTATAATCAGAGGGAAGGAATCTACGTCTTCGCGATTCCACGCTGCCAAATGATTATTTAGAGTTGTGAGTCATCTTTCTTTGTTTCCGGCACCCATTAGTCGGGTTCTGCGCGCGTTTATTCCACCCTAACCCATCCTTTCTTGCACGAAACTTCGCGAGAGTCAACTCCCCGACAGCAATTTCGAGCCCAGGGAGTAGTCGACGAAAGTGACGAAATATGTTCTACGAGTGAACCGTCATGGACGACCTCAAAGATTTAAGCCGTCGGTATTGTTTATATCACACAGGGATAGGGGTTGGAATGACGAGGGACTGCAGCACGTTGATGGTAGCCCAATATTTCAAGAGGAAGAGGGAGCTCGTTGAAATCTTCATCGTGTCGGGCAGCGGCTTAGGCATAGCGGTTATGTCCGCCTTTATAAAGGGAGCGATTAGGTGCGTTAAATGTACAGCGAGTAACAAATGGTAAAACTTTATTTCGACGGATTCAATTAGGGTAGACCGAATCGGACCCAAATAAGATTTAAGACCAGTTATCGTTAGTTTATTGTTCCAAACGAACGGTTTTATCGTGCCAGTTACTTCTGAAGCAAAAAGCTAACGACAACTATCTCAAAGTTTATTCTGATTCAATTTACTTTGGTCTACTTTCTTACAGGACGGTTTGCTAAGAATTTGCTTATTTGTAGTAAAATCGGATGGCGACTCGGTCTTCAAGCTGTCACGGGGGTGGTTTTCCTCACCTTCATCCTCGGCACTTTTTACCGCAGCGCCTCGTTGTATCATCCCCAACGGCGGGCAATTTTGCACTTAAAGAATCAGAAACGCAAGATAAAGGATAAAAACAAGACCGACGATAGACCGCCGTTTTTCGACTTCAGCACTCTAAAGAGCAAAACAGTGAGGATCTTATTGGTGTCTACCGGGATCTCGGCGTTCGGGATAAACACACCGATATTTTATCTGGTAATGGCGCGAAGTGAAACCGAAGGGAACCGACTATTTTAAGTTTAGAGGAGACCGGAGTAGAGGACTTTTTTTTCTTTCGTACAGGCGCATCAAGCCGAGGAGGAGGGTCTCGGTGACACGGTTGTCCTACTACAAGCTTATCTCGGGCTAGCTTGGACTCTCGGCTGCGTCGCATTTGGACTTTTGGTCGTTCATCGCAGCGTCGAATGCAGGATAGCCCGCCAATATCTCACGCAAGCCGCTGTCTTCGTATGCGGACTCTGCATTCTCGCTCTCACCGCAGTTCAAGGAAATTATCACGGATACGTGATGTTTGCGTGGATTTACGGTAAAGTAATCTTCGCTCGAAATAGAGTGATGGAAGATGCTTCTACGGCGGAACTCCGAAGTTCCAAAAAAAATTGGTCGTTTGGTATTCTTAGGTAGTGATGAGGCACTCTGCGTAAAACGTTTTTTTCCCTTGACAAGATAGCACAACGTAATAAATAAGATTACGTTATCCGGGCGACTTTCTATTTGCATGTGTCACTTCGTCGTTTCTCCGAGGTACACAATGATGCAAAGAGCGAGAGCTGGCAAACTCTCATAGTTTACGACGCGAGTAATAGGGATTTAGTAGCGCGCCATTTATCTCGCCTTTTATCCCTTCGCCCACGCAATAAAGATCTTTGAGATCGAATTACGAGCAATAAAAAAAACACTGCTCTTTTTGTAGGCATCTTCTGTGGCGGCTATCATTACAGCTTGAAAATGTACACGTACGAGAGGGTGAGGGCCCGGAACTTCGCTAGAACATGGGGTTTCGTTCAATGTTCCCAAGCGATACCGATCGCAATCGGGGTGCCGATATCAGGTAATCAAAAAGATAATTATCATAAAAATTTCTGTGTTTGAACTATACAGCAATATTAGTCTATCAGTGACATCTGCTATTTCTTGTTCTATGTTTTCGTTAATAAAATATGTGTATCCATTTAAACGTGATTTCTCAACTGTCTCAACGTTTTTCTCAAATGTCTGGAAAGCACTCGACGTTGAGTGGGCGCAGCATATAACGCATAAATCTCCCATATTTTGTAGGATATATAAACGTTGGTTGTGGTGGCAAGGCCGGATACTACTTCAGCTCGACGTGTGTCTTAGTCGGTAGTTTCACTCTCTTCTTCATCGATTTGCATAGAAGAAATTTGTCCAAGCATAAGCACACCAGAGCGAACGGTACGAAGCACCTGTGCGCCTCAGACAACTGTCCTCAACGACGACGAGCGTCGTTCAGTCAGGAGCCCGAGAACGAAGGGCCTCACGTAGCCGCCGCTGGAGCGGCTGGAGCGACGGCAGCAGCCCTTGTTCTAGGTGCCGACATCGCTCCGGCACAAGGTATATCCTTCCAGTTTCTTGTGTCTTTGTAATCGTCGTAATCTCGCGAATAAGGGCGATTAATCAAAGACAAAACGAGTTCTCATTAACTGATCGCATTGTCGTTTTAGGTGAGGCGATAGACGTCCTAGGGACCGACAAACCAGAACTCACTTGCATCTCGGAAGAGGGTATCGCCGACATGGATTTACCCGACAATCTGTTTGAAGATCTCGAGTATGTGGGCGACTGTATAACCTCGTGCAACAAGGTCGAAAACTACCTCATGCTCTCGGAATTCGAGAACAACCTGATCGCCGAGATGCCGATGATTATGGATCGCCGCGGACGCAGATGGTCCTTGGCGCGTTCCAAAACCGGTCAACCGCTCGCCAACTGCGCCCAGACGAGCAGCGCGCAGTCGACGAACGACGAGGAAGAGATCAAGTCGAAGTGGCGTCTCACGAACGTCGCGCCGTCAAACGCAAATAGCAGAATGATTACCGTCATCGACGAGGCTAGCACCTAATCTCGAACACGAACGAGGCGGTGTCGTTAATCCTAAACTTGACAAGATTCAGGAAGTAAATCTCGGATAATATAATGACAGGTGTGAGAGAAATAGAAATGGAATTTTTCAAAAACAAGAGAAAAAGAAAGGAAAATATAAAAAACATAAAAAATATAAAAACATAAAACTTTCAACGTATTTTTAACAAAATTTTTCTCGAATGCATTGTTTATACAAAGCAAAAACTAAAAAAATATGATAATAAAATAAAAAAAAAGAAATATATACACGTGTAATTCACACACGAATATTAAAAATTTATAAACATATTTTAATAGTAAAGAAAGTTAAATGTCTAAATGATAAAGAGCAAAATTGTATCTTACGAATACAAGTTACCAAGTGTAGGGTTAAAAAAAAAACCCGCGAGACCTACTTTCTCGTTTATTACGAAGAATAGTGTTAAATGTTTTTGTCTACGTTAAAAATCGATAAAACACAGATAACCGTAACATAAAAATTTTTCGGGTCAAGACTTTTTAATCTTGTAATTTTAATTTTATAAAAGAGGAATTAGGACAAAAGTATGAAGAAAGTCACGAGATATGAGAAATACTGACTGAGTTACTCCATTATAATCTGTCAATATTTCATAAATAGATTGTTATATCCCTCTCTGTCGACTTAAGTACTCGCAGAAATTAAGTTAGTCATAGTCAGTGGATACAGTGACACGATACCCTGGACATAGTGTAGGTCAGTTCCTTGAGAATGTAATGAGACAAGTGAGACGCGATCACTCTACTCGCGATGCAATTAAGGACAATAACGTCGGCTTTCGACGAGAGGAACCACGGAAATGCTCCGTCCACACAAAATCAACCTTGACTCGCGTCGGCGTATCGCTTTGTGTAAGCTTCTTGCTAATTTACTGTCCGAATTATAAAGTAACTCATCGTTACCATATAGTTAACTCGCAAATGGCATTGCAACTTACGCCTTAAGATACTTGAGAAAATAAATTTTGAAAAAGAAATCCCGTGGGGGTTACGTGAACGAAATGGTAAGCTCAGACACTTGGTACAAATGTTGCGATTTACGCGAAGATTATTGAGCGACTAATAAAGTCGTAGCAAAAGTAACATTGTAGCAAAACGGCAAACTATACCTATTGAATTAAAGAGAATGCAACAGAGACACATTTTATCAAAAACTTTTCATTTGAACTGATTTTTATGAATGTCCAAAATGTCAATGTATGTTTTGCTACGACTGAAAATAAGAACTGGCAGTGGAAAGATAAAAAGTAACGCTTGTACGTAGACACGCTAGCTTAAGATTCGAAAACTAGTCCGATCGCGATTTAGAGGCGGCAGTACGTCGTGAAAACACGACCATATATACGTATATATATTGTCTATAACGATTTTTCGGAACTCGGTCTACGAAAAGGCGCAGCGATCGACTCCACGTTAATAATACGTAATATAAACTATTTATTTGCTCCGTTTTTTATCGTACTATTTATATTTGAGTGTAAATACTCCATACTGCTGCCGTGTATATATACTCACGCAAAGGTACACCACCGTCGGCGTAGATTGTTCTAATGTTAATAACGTTAATAACATTAATCGCGTCTTTCACAACTTAACGTTGCAAGATGATCTATATCCGGATAAATTATACCTTTCTTAAAACAATATTGCCTCATAAAAATAATCGACACTCAAAATATATTATTGTGTGCGTGTGTATATGTGTGTATGTAAGGCGTGCATTCTTTTATAATTATTTATACAATTAATATACAAAAATTGAAGAAAGATACTAAAGAAAACTGCCATTTAAAGTACTCGAAACTCACGCGAAAAGAAAATCGCATATCCAATTTGGATAATAATTTTTTTTCAGAAAACTCTCCTCTCTAAAATGTAATTATATTATTATATTTTAAAATATGTAATAGAAAGAAGAAAATTAATCCACCGTTTACCAATTTCTTTCCTAGTGTGTGTCGAATCGCTAAATATACCATAGAGACAAAAACTGCCGAATATATTGTATTGTCGTAATGTTATTGATATAAAAACGTGATTCAAATACATGAACCTCGTATCATCATTATTTCTCGCGAAACACCCCAATCGCAGACTCTACGTCTCCAAATGAAAAATCCTTCAATTTTAAACGAACATTTCATCGTGAAACGTATTCAGTATGCCATAATAAGCTCCATTTGAGACTGAATCAAATTAGAAACGCTACGGCCAAATGGCCTCATTACGGTTTCAATGAATGCGATATCGATAGCGTCGCGTTAATTACGCATTTCTGGTTCACCTATTAGTTTCAAACAAAACGCGTATTATGTTACGCACAGCTGCACATTCACGGGCGATTCAGTGACCATCAAATAAGAATTATATTTCTGAATTAGCGTTCAACCAACAATTACTCAATTACGCTTCTTGAAATTAGAACTTCCGAATGTTAATTTGAGAACAGAAATAGACGATCTAACTCTCATAAATTCGAATAATTTTGTTTGAATTGCTTAGTTTGATTTCCAGGTTCGAATTATCATCGTTTTGTTCCATACTGAACGAGTCGAGCGAATGTCCTAATTTCTATCGAAATTGATACAGGAAAATATTGGAGAAGTGTATTAAGGATTGAGTCGCATGCTTATCACATTGTCTTGCGCCGCACGTTCATTAGTACGCAATTGTGCGCGTGGCAATTGGCATGGTGTGTACGATAAGAGGTAGAACGGCGGCGGACAATCGCTCCAAGGCGTCTCGCGATCAAATGCCCCCGTGGCATGAGTAGTGACGGTATATTCTTGCGAAAAAAAGTCGCGTGACTCGACCGAGTCCTCGAGGTAAGTCCTGACGACCGTAATTCTCACAACAATAAATCTCAATTATCAAGCTAGCCCTTTTCACGAATTCTTTCTCTATCAGCGTCAACAAACAAAACCCATTTTGTAACAAATTCTAACAAAAATTTAATATAAAATTTAATATTAAAAAAATATTATTCTAACAAAAATCAATGTAACGAAATTCCGCATCAATAGTGTAAATTAATACTACGAGAAGGCATTCCTGCTCAAACATTTCACTGCAGGCGGTGAAAAGAAAATTATAAAATACATGAAAAATATTATTTAAAATAGTGATTGAGCAATATAAATAAGGAAATTTAAAATAAAATTTTGTGTTGATGCTAACGTAATATAACGATTCTATGTAATTAATTATGATAACAAGACTAAACCGTATTTACCTACAATTGTTCGTTCGCATTTGGTGCAGAAAATTCATTAAAACTTTAGTATAACTCTCGGAAATAACGAAAATAAATTTTTCTATCTCCGACGAGACCACGTACGATATCGTGGGACGAATGTCATAAATCAAGCAGAGGGTCCTGTCTATCCCGCTCTCCCGAGTCATATTCCGAGTTCCTGGATCTTTTATGAACTCAGCTATGTGTCACTTCAACCCCTTCTTCAATCAGTCTGGTTGCTCGCATCTCTCTGTTGTCCCTCATCGGTTAATCTATCGATCAATCTGCGACCATTCGTTTTGCCACCAATCTTGATCATCTCGATAGAGATGTGTATAAAAGCGCGATTGCCAAATTCGCGACGAATCTTAATAATTTAATGATTCGTGATAAGAGACGACGTGTCTTGCAGCACGTAGGACGGCGCAACAAGGATGGCGTACGAAAAACTGCACGTGCTACCATTGAGCCTGTTCATCTTAATTCCCGTAACATTCGTGATTACGTAAGTCTCGTGAGATCGACAAAGTACAATAGACGAAATCGTTAGAAACCAGGTAGCAATAAACCGCAAAGAATACATTTTCCGCGTGAATGCCAAATAGACATTTTAAACGTAGTGTTTTAGAGTCTTTCTCAGTTTAACCGATTTAGTGCTTCCAAAATGGAATTTCTTTACTCCTTAATATCGTCATCAGTCTTTCTCGTCACTCTTGACAAATTTTAATCTATATTTTGTTTGCGCGCAATCAATCAAATTCTTACTAAATGATGTATACGAATGTATACTAAATTATTAATTCGTATACATCTGTTCGCGTATCAAAAATCATTTCTTTTTCTCGTTGTGATATCTCTCACTTCGCGCGTGACTACATAAGTATTATATTTTCCGTCAGAGCAGCGAGTAGATGTCATAGAATTATTAACGACGATGAGCCCATCGTAAAGAAGCTTTGCGTACGGCCGAGAAAGTCGTGGAAACACGATGCGAACGTTTTATATACTCGCCCGCGCCACACAAGTTCATAGTTTATAAACGGCTCATGTTTCAGATACACCATATCAGTACAGTGGGACCACGTGGTGCCTGGGTTCCCTTATATATCGGAGACCGGCACGTTGTCGCCGGAGTCATGCATATTTGCACAATGTTTAAACATTGCGGCCCTATTGCGTATGTAGGCTGCTCAAAAGCGACTTTCAAATGCAAATAAATCGTATTCATTTTTCACGTTTCAGAAGAGACATCTTCCTTTGAGTAGTTATACGAGTATAGATTCGAATAAATCTAAAAGCAAAATTAATTGAAAAATAACCAAATAAATAAAAAAAATCTTTTTGACAGATAAACTGTACAATAAGACGAATAAAATAACTGGTAACAAAAAATTCAATCTTTCACAGTCGGATGCTGCGTTTATATCAGACATCGACAGGTTCTGCAGTGGCAAAAGGAAAGAGGTCATGACCTGGTGAACAGAAAACTAGTGGTGGCGGCCACATACTGTGGCATCCTCGCTTGCTTTGGTCTCGACATACTCGCTAATTTTCAAGAAGCTCGCGTAGTCGCCGCTCATATGGTGGGAGCGATGACTTGCTTCTCGGCCGGGACTCTCTATTTCTGTCTTCAGGTACATCGTAACGCGAATCTTTATATTCTATCGTGGATTTCGCGAGACATTCATTTACCGACAATGTAGCAACCCGTTGACGGTGCCAAACGAACATTTATCCTAAAAGCAATGTCGCAAAAAGCTTTTTTCGAGTTTTCAACGTTAAACGAGTTTTAAACGCGTTCGCAGTCCTCTATATTTTATAATTCTTTATATTTTATTATTATTTTTTCCGCTTTCTCATTTTCGTAGATCTTTTTCGTTACCAATTCATTGACATTGACAAAGGTTTTTGTGTAAAAGAAATAATTTTGTCTTGGTGAAATAATTTTATAAAATGAATCCTTTTAGACGTATTTAACCTATAAGATGGTACCAGCCGTAAACGGCATGACTGTCGTTTATGTACGTGCGATTCTCTCAGCTCTCACATTGAAATTGACAACTGCCACAATCGTTCTTGGCTATATATCGATGTCTGAATTTCAAGGTGAGCATATATTACATATGTCATGACTTGTATATAATATAAAATGTGTAGCTTATAATTATACAACATTCTCTCTCTCTCTCTCTCTCTCTCTCTCTCTCGTAATATATTTTTGTTAGCCTAATTCCTTAGTTACTTGTACGCAGATGGATATTGTAAGCAAAAAAATTTTGACAAAAACTTTTGCAATTATTTTACTTCGTATTTTACTTCGATTTTAACACAAATTAAAATCGAAATAAAATATTCGGAATATTTAGAGATTTTGTAGCTAATATGAAAGTAATTAAATTGTTACACATGCAGGTAACGATTACAAGAAGTGGCTACCGGCGGACGGTGGTTGGGGCTGGCATGTCGCCAGTACGATATGCGAATGGATCCTTGCGATCGTGTACTGTGCGTTTCTCCTCACTTTTGTGCCGGAGTTCCGATTAATTAACTTTGAAGACCCCGTAGTTACGGTATATCAATTAAACTGTTATTGCTCGTAAAGGAGCAATCGTTAACGTTATAAATAATTTTGTTTTAGTTAATATATTTGGATAAAATCGAAAGCACGGGGGCGTCTTGCAAAATGGAAATGACCGCACCACAGGATACATAAATTATTTTCTACGTCAATTTGTCAGGCGTTCTCTCCATTCACTCATAGTTAAACTAACGTAATTAATCTATCTTCTATACCTGTCTATTATCGTAACGTAAATTGAACGAAAGGAGATTGAGAAGTGGAATGTAACGTAGACATATTGCAGAATGGAATAGTGGAATGGAAGAGAGCAATGATCGATTCCATCACAACAGATGGCTAAGGGTCGACATATATCTTTGCTAATCATACGACCGTAAAAAAACAAATAAAAATGTTATTTAAGAATGCAGTCATGTATAATAGAGCCGGAAATAAGAAGAAAGTAACACAATCACATGATGCGAGTACAGACTTTCTCCTTCTTAAGACCTCATTAGTTAGAATGCTATTAATTTAGATACAGCTGCGCGATATGCTGTAATTATGTAGATGGTGATAGATACGGCATTATAAATCGAGGATTGAAACGTCATATTCGGATGACGTAAGATCGAGCACATGCGCGGGCAGAAATGGAAAAATTGAAAACTTGTATGATCGATTGTGCGGCTTGATTGTGGCGGCTGTAAACTTCTGTTTTACCTGTTTTATCTAATTCAATAATCGTATAATATGTCACAGAAGTGTTCAAAATCCAAGAAGAGTTAGAATATAATATTCCATTAATGGAAATCTGATGATTATACCAGAAAAATGTGCAATAAAATTCATTATCGTAAAAGATTTCACGTTAATATAATAATTTAATAAGATGAAGATAATACGTAATATTAATTAAATTTAGAAATATCTGGTGATTATACCAGAAAAATGCGCAATAAAATTCATCATCGTGAAAGATTTCACGTCGACATAATAATTTAATAAGATAAAGATAATACGTAACATTAATTAAATTTAGAAAGATTAATATTAACCCGTAACAGGTACCATGTCTTTTTAGTCAAGCTATAGATACAATGGGCATCCGCCGGACCCCAATAAATTTTTGCCACTTTTAACATGATAATAAAAGGTAGAAGAAAAACGCTTTATAGTTCAAAAATAATAACTTTACGAATATTATATTACAACTAGACTATATAATAATAGTCTCAGTTTTACAATAATCTAAAAGAAAACTGATTATAAAATTAACTGATTATAAACTGATTATTAACTGATTATTAACTGATTATAAAATGAACACAATGTTGAAATAACTTCATATCTAGGATGCTTCCTTTTGCGATATCTCACGTACTGCAGATATCGTGCATCGTTTGCAGGACTTCGCTGCTGTCGCGCTTGTGACCCCGCAAAGCACAAAACAAACGCAATGTTAGAATAGAGCAAAGCGCAAAACACAAAACAAACGCATTGTTAGAATAGAGTTTAAACTTGAGTCCAAGTTTAAACTACTATTGAAAAAAACCAGCCCTTAGAGTTTCAGACAGATTTTTTTATTAAATTACAAGAAACATAAATAGAAATAATAAGCCTATATAGCAGGATGACATAAAATAACAATTTAACGACGTCATTAATGTGCCGTTGAAACATCGTTTCGCGTCAGTGTGTTTGCTGAAAAAAGAGCTTAAAGATTTATAAATGATTACATCAGCTATTTTAGTATTAAAAGGTGTAGTGAATAGTTCTACTTTCTCCTGCTTACCATTTGGAAATAAGTTGTAACAAAGTTTTTTGAAATTTTCAATATTAAAAGATAAATTTTTACAATATGTATCCTTTTGTGAAATGTAAAAAAGAAATTGATTTTGTAAATCCCCAAAATAATGATGTTCTTTATTAAAAAGACATATACTTTTGTAAGGTAAAAAAATTAATTTTTTATTAGTTTATTAAATTGTACATAATTTAAAAAATCTATAGTTCAAAGTGCATTAAAATATTTATTTTATTGTTGTATTAACATTAACATTTGCACTGGGACCTAGCGCGGATCGTTACACCACCTCGCCGTTTTACAGCTTCCATGTCTTGAGTACTTCAATTTTCTCGATGTCCTTTACTGCACCTGACGGTTTGAAGGTAACGCGCCATACTTCTCCGTCTATATATTATGGATTTGGAGGACGCCCAGGGCGGGAGGTCAAAGTATCTTCCGTTTATAATTTTGACTCTAATGGGCGGTTTGCAATGCTGCGGTTCAGGCGGCTGTCGTTTCGTGCGTCGTTTGGTACAGGCTTCACGCGTTCTGATTTCTTCCGTTGGACGCTGCTTCCTGGTTGCTGTGCTCTGGTCGATGTAGGTTTGGTTGGTCGGCTGCGGTCTCCCGGAGGGTGCTGAGTTCTCTTTGGAGCATTTGGTCGACGGTCGGACGGCGTCGGTCCTCTTGGAAGCCTCCTGGTTGACTTCCTTTGTTGTAACGGTCGGCTACCGTAGCCCGAAGGGCGCCGAGTCGTTCTTGGGAAATGACTCCCAGTTCTCAAACCAAGTAGGGAGCTCTCGGTTTATGTACATCTCTATTTTTGTCTGTTTGTCTCTGTTAGTCTGCTCACATCGACTGTTCCAGCTGGAGTGATTCTTGATTCCTGGACTGCTAGTAGTCGACTGTCGTAACCCAAAGGGCGCCAAGTCGTCCCTGGGAAATGGCTCCCAGTTCTCCAACCAAGTACGGAGCTCTCGGTTTTTGTACAT